TAAGGGAAAAATTAATAATAATTATTGATTTTTCACTTAGCGCTTCTGATTTTATGGATTAATATCGAATTTATCGATTTTTAGCTCGGACAAATCCAACGATAAGTAATCGATAATACTATTATTATATGATTATTATCAATTACTTACAACAAATCCCGGTATAGATTTTAATCAATTTTCGATATCATTGACTGAGTTTTATCAATTTTTATCGAATATTATTGATTATCAATTTTATCGAGTGAGTACCCTGGGCTGAAAACAGGACTTAGTGGGTGTGTGGCAGTAACATTCTTGTCCGAAAAAGAATTACCCAATGCCTGAATACTTGTGTGTTGAAATCGGGATACAAATTGAATGCACTCAAATATAATTTCAGTTATTGTTAAGCTTAAAACAAAAACTTTCCCAATTTGTCTAATAAAACTGTAAGTTATAGTTCCAAAAATAGTTGTTTTGAAACCTCGCATATTCTGTGAACTGGATCAACAGCCTACCTGATCTAGTAAAATCAAAAACTTATAAAAGAAAAATTTCTTTGTGGAGCCATTCAAAACGGCTCTTCTAATTCAGAGCCACCACAAAAGCACAAGTCTTGGTCCTTCTCTCTGATTCTTTTGTCATTATTGTGCTGATAAGAAATTGGGAAAGAAAATAATATTCATATTCATCTATAGGCTTCTGTGATAGGCATTTAGCTCTTATGTAGCTCTTCCAAAGCGGAATACCCAGAGCCCTCATACTCTACATTACTATTTGAACTGTTCGGTAATCGAACTTAATCAAACCTAATCAAACTTAATCGAACGATTGGGTATCATTAGTAATAGTAATTGGACCTAGTAGAGTACAATTCAGGGAGTAATCAGGTGAGTAATTTCAAAATCAGATGAATGCAAAGCGTGAGGTTGACTTGAAATTACAAGCACAATTACTCCCTGAATTGTACTACACAAGGTCCATTGAATTACTAATTAATCGTATCTATATAACAAATTTTGAAAGGTCTTTTGAGAACTTCTTTTGAGCGAAAATGTCTCTAGCGCTTTTCATAAGTTTTGCAAACTATAGGAAACCATTAAAGCATGCTTAATTATTGACGTGCAAATCACATGCCTTGGGTATCCAATTCATTACAGGTATCCAATTACAAAAAGTTTAAATTGGATACCTGTAATTGGACACCCATGTGGTCGTGCACTGATTACGTGAAAAATAGGTGGGCGGAGAACTAATCACGATGGAGAATTTGTTATAGATGTGATTAGTTCATTAATTAAACACAGTCGAACCGGAGAAAGCTAAGAAATTTGAGTGAGGGGGTTCGATCTTCTTTGATTTCTGAAGTAATTAAACCCAATAGAACTTGATTGAACACAATCGCAAAGTATAAAATTCACCCTAAATACCACCAGATATTTGAGCAGTCTGTCTTAGTAACAGGGTAACCGTTATGAAGTAACCTTTGGGCATGGAAAAAAAAATGGATTTACAAATGAAAGAATAAACTGACTATGAAGTTGAAAAAAAAACAACAACAACGAAAAATAAAGTTTAGCAGATGATGGAAAGTTAAGAGTTAATATACAGACTTTTCACTATTAAGGAATCTGTTTAGGATTTTTTAACCACCACAGTTTTGAATAGGATATTGGTATTAAAGTCATAGGTAGAGGAAAAATTCCCTTTTTTAAATGTATTTTTATTAATTTTTATTCTATATTATGTATTTTTAAGTAGAATTTTTTTAGTAGTTAAGGCTTTTTTATTTGTTAAGTAGCAGAGGAAGAGGGAGACATGGCCCGTATGAAGCATCGCCAGCGTCGTGGAATGCTCAAGATGTATTATGGAGTTGGTGAAGAGTCTGGAAAGTCAGCTGTTATTGATTCCTGTGACATTAATGGTGCACATTTCAAGCCTGAGGCATTTTTGGAGAAGCTTTTCAAAGAGAAATCACTAAATGAGCTTCATGATAAAGAAACAGAGATTTCCAAACGTAAGGATGTTCAATACATGTACTGTTGAATATTTGATTATTCAGATTTTTTTCCTAATTGTAGCCACCAATAAAATGAAAAAGGAAAAGTAAAGTCTCTCAAGCACTGCTGGCTCAAAGGTCTTGGCACTTAACCTGACATTGCTATCTCCCCTAGACGGGGTGCTAGTCCATCACAGGTTGGCAGGGCTAGAAAAAAGTGCCTTCTGGTCATGCAGGACAAGTAAAATCTCCTTCTGGGCAAGTAACTTTTCACTCTTACTTGCCCGATGGGCAAGTGAATAGGCAAGTTGTCTGCCAAGTAAATCATTAAGAGCAATCTGACTTGCCCAGGGCAAGCAAACTTTTAGAGCTACTTGTCCCAAGGGCAATTTGGAATTCAAGTTTTTTTCAAGTCTTGGTTAGTCCTCAGCCTTTTGTCAGGTTGCTTCAGCAATTTATTAGCACCCTATTATACACCTGGGTGGACAGAGTCTCTGTGAGAGAATAGCTAATAGAAGTGTCTTACCCAAGAAGACAACATGACGACCCTGGCCTGGGTTTGAATCAAGACTGCTCGATCTGTTGTCCTATTCGCTAACCATTAAACCACCATGCCTCCCACACCAAATAAACTGGATATAAATATAAGTGTGTGCCATAACTTTATAAAAAAATTCTCCTTTTTTGTAGAAATCAGATCGTTAGACAGTGAGATGCAGACCTTGGTGTATGAAAACTATAACAAGTTTATCAGTGCTACTGACACCATAAGGAAGGTAACTGATACACAAAATAGTTGTGAATTTGTGAAAATGAATCCCCAGCTGTCTCAGGAGATTCGTTTTCAAAGAGTATGAAGAAAAGTAATGAGAATTTGGATACTGACCATTAAATTGGTTAATTTCACATATTTGTTATTTACAAAAGATGAAACATGATTTCAAGAAAATGGAGGAAGAGATGGATAAGCTGGCGGCAAACATGTCGACAATCACAGAGTTCAGTGAGAAGATAACCGGAACCCTTCAAGGAAAAAGACAGCAGATCACTAAGTTATCAGGCGTTCATGCACTCCTGAAAAAGGTACTTTGTTTTTCTGTTTGGTTTTCAAACATTTACAAGTTAGTGTGTTTAAAAAAATATTTGAAAAAACATTATAGTTACATTTAATCAGTGTCATAGTCAGGTAGTTTGCAAGGGACAAAACATTTCCAATATTTACAATTTTGTTTCCTTGTAACAGCTTCAGTTTCTCTTTGAGTTGCCATCAAGACTAAACAAGTGTGTTGAAATGAAGCAATATGGACTGGCTGTCAGGTAAATTTTGGAAATTTACAATAAATAATATAATAATAATAATAATTCATTAGTGATAAAAGTCATTGTATATGTAAATTGGCCTATTTGCCTTTTGTGGTTATTTGTTCATAATTGCAGGTATTATACAAAAGCAAGAGATGTTCTTCACCATTATAGCCACATGCCTTCATTTCATGGCATTCATCAGGACTGTGACGAGATTGTTAAACAGCTGATAGTTCAACTGAGGGAACAACTCAGGAATCCAAAGGTTACAAATTACTCAGTGTTTTAGTCTCTATATATGCCTTTTTGAACTAAGCATAAAACACATAAAATGTAGTCAGATATTCCTAAACTGGTGTCTGGTCACCTCACCACCAGGAAGTGTTGCCACCAATGATCGTGCCACGCTTAAACAACCTCACCACCAATGAACTCACCACCAAGCAAAGTCACTACTCGCCACCAACCACCAACAAGGAGATAATAAAAGTAGAGTAAAGTAGTCAAGGAGAATTAGCCATGGTATTTGTATTTATTGGTAGCAAGGTGACCATAATTCACCTAAACTTGAAACTGGGGTAGCCTACATACCTAATTATATCACACCTCCTTGGAAAATGGTACAAGTTATTATATCCAAGGTAGTGTCTTTTTACAAGATTACGTAGCATTATGTATGTATAACTCGAATACATGAACATGTGTAAAATTTTAAAAGGAAGTTCCTGATTGAACAATAGTATTGCCTTGGAAGCTGTTACAAAATTCAATTTTTTCATTTCCTTTCTATAGTCAACACCCAAGCAGTTGGCAGAATGTGTAGATCTACTGCTTCAACTAAGGGAACCTGCTGATGAGCTGTGTGATGAATTCTTAGCACAGTAAGATT